TTATTATCTGGTGTTTTTTTCTCTAATCAAAAAACGAATGGTGTACTAGAAAGAAGGTATTTGCAAAAACAGGAAAATTAGAAATGATTACTTTATTTATGTTAGAATTTTATGTTAAATAATATCCCGTTTTAAATTACACAAACACGCTGCGCACAATTAAAAAAACACCAATTGGACATTAACGAATATTGTCAAAAGTTTTGATGCCTGTTACATATCCATCTATGTAATAATTAATAAATAAGTAAAATTATGTCGCAATGAAAACAATTTATACATTTTCTTTAATGTTTTCAAAATTACCGCTTTCATGCTAGCTAAATCGAATAGGAAAAAAATCTATTTTTTTCTTTTGTATGTGCAATTGATAATCATATATACCTATAAAATTAGTTTGGGTAATTCTTGACTGTCTTCTTCCTTTATAGTGGCATTGTAAGTATTTGATCAAATAATGGCGGCAACTCATTGATATCATTAAGTCTATCCCAAAATGTGGTGTTACCTTCATTTAAGCTGCCGATAGCTACTAGAGTAACAATGTAAGAGCGAAAAAAAATAAGGAAAAAAAATTACTATGAGAAAAAAAGACGTGCAACCTAACTGGATAAATTAGAAAGGTCAAGCAACATGTCTAAAAATTAAATTAAACTGAATAGGCTCAAACAAGACAAAAGTAATAAGCCTTTAAAGCAACTTTGACCAAGACACTTTGTTTTCCTCAAGTGAGTTTCCACTAAGTGTTAACAAAATAGGGATTGATCCCATATAACACTTGTCTTTATAATGAGGTGAGAACACAATAATTTCCTTACAACTACTATGGTAAAGCATGTTGTACCGATGTAGCATTTCCATTATATTCTGATGAAAACAGCGTGAAATGGTGTTGATAACAATAAAAACTGGATGATGGCTATTGATTAACTAGGTCAAGATAAATGTGCAGTTTCATTCACATATACACATTGACATTCTTTGGAGCTGTGCGTATTTTATTCCGCTTTGTGCAACTGCATGTAAATTTTGTGAATAGAGAAAAACAAGTTTAAGTTGCGGCGACTTATCAGGAAAGAGGTCACACATGTTCAAAGCTGTTTAAAGGCTTACGAAGTGTGTTATAAGTCTAAATTAAAGGTACTAATTCAGGATAACGTGCAAAATCGAGATCAACTCGCAGGCATTAATGGTGAAGTAGGACGACAATATAATCCAATCACAAGTTGCATAACCTTTAACACTCGTTTGGGCAGTTTCCTATTATCTTCTTCTGTAATCTGCGTCTTGTAGGTGGGTCGATCGAAAACGGGAGGGTTATCGTTCACGTCCTTAATATAGATAACCACCGTGGTGTAGTTCTCGTTAAGGTTATCTGAAGCCACCAAGCGCAGCTTGTACTAAAAAACAAACAGAGAAAACATAATCATCGTTAAACGAACATCTCTGGCTCCACTGACCCGAGGCTGAGGACTTGTAATCTACAAGACAAATAAATACTTTCATTAACTGAAGGATCGTCGAAGGAGCTTTCCGGGTGCATTCGGTCTCGTTAGAAAAACGTAACGGCCTCATTTCTAGCTGAACGCAGACTATTATTAAGAGGACCTTAATAATACAAAAATGGGATTATTACAGAGAGTGTTTCTTTCATAGACACAAAAGTGTCAAAACTTTAAGACATTTTCAGGGGGTTAAATGCTAAAAAAACAAACAAAAAAACATTTTAACCATTTGCCAGTTTTTCTATCTGGCAGACTCTAATATTTAGGACCATTTTGTTAATATAATTTGATAGTAAGTGAAATTTAAGTTGCTGTAAAAATTAGTTATACGTTTTTAAGCTTTTACAGAAAGTTAAGACAGTTTTCTGTACTTATTTATCTCCTTGCTATAAAATTATATTAGAATTTGCTACATACGAAAGTACAAAATATATTTTCAAAATAATTATTAGAACTCATATTTCACTGAATAAAATATGTGAAGCGAAAGTGAATCAAATTACATTTTATATAAGTAAAAATCAAGAACTTTTAGTTTGGTTTCAATTAGTTTCATCCAAGATATTCGTAGAAAACGTTACAAAGTTACGTTAATAGCAACATGTTGTTTAAGTTATTTATGAACTCTGTTCATTTGAAACTTGTCAACTTTCAAAGCCTGAAATTAGATTTTCAGCGGAACTCAGTACTAAGTTAGAATAGGATTTGTTCTCACGTTTGTAACTTTTTAATTAGATTTGACTATTCAATTGGTTTTTGAAATTAGAGACTTCATTAATGTTAAGATTGAGTTTGACTGTATTTGGTTTCTCATAGTTGAGCTATTTAATTCCGGTAAGAACAACCTGCCAGGTTAGCAGAAAATTGGGTTAAAATCTTGGTCAGACATTTTTTTTTTAAGAACACTCGTAAACTAAATAATTATGTATTAGAACTTTGGAATCTATTTTAACCAATTTTTAGACATTTGAGAGTTACAAAATATATTGAGGAATTTGGATTCAGTTTTTGTACAATATCTGTAACTTGAACAATCATGATAATGCATTTGCTTCAATGTTTTACTTTTTTTTCAAGTCGTCGGAGTTTTTAATATTCATTAAAGGATTCTAGATAAATTTGGGTATTAATTCTTTTAAAACACTTTAGTGACTATTTACGTTGAATTATTACTACTTGAAAACCTTGAAATAACATTTAATTAAAGCTTTTGAGGGACCTGTCAACAAACAGAAATCCATCACTTACAGTTTTCATATTTTTGTTGGGGCATTTATTGTAAAATATAAAATAGAGTAAAATTAAAATCCAAACAATGCAATTAAAATAGAAAAATCAATACCAAAGGAAAACGGTATCCAAAAAACTTAGACGCCTCTGTCTAAAATATACCACCTTTGAATACTCCAGGTCTAATTTCACTGCTCATTCACAGTAACTGCTAGTTTCGTGACTAAGTTCTACTTTTAACTCGAAATACTCTATATACATTATATTCATTATGGCTCAATGTCGAATGACGTTATAGTTTAACCTTAAAAACAAATTAAATACATATTTTTATATATTGTAAAAAGGATGAAATACATACTATCGTATTCTATGTACTTTAACAACATTAAAATCATAAATTCGTTACGCTAACTAGTATATCAGGTTGATGGTTTCCCAGCACTAGTTTCAACAATCCAATCGCATATAAAGTCATAAGCTCTGTGTATAGCGAATTGCTCGATAAATCTTTGTTTGGAATAGCATGAGTAGGCGTTTCATTCTCCAAAAGCTTGAAGTATGTGACGGAAGGATATGTTGGAGAAGTAACTTGGGTACACATTACTTGTATCTCTTTTCCAGACGGAGATCCTTCTTGATTATGTTGTGTACTGTTGCCTGGAGCACGTAGATGGTTTTTACTATTGACTTCATGTTCCTAGATGCTCATCTGTTACAAGTTGCTGCAGCTTGCTTATCATGAATAGGGCGCAAATTGTTGCAGATCTTTTTATGAATGGTCTTGATATCCCAAATTGATTCATATTCTTTTATTTTCCAATGCCTTTATGCACAAGGAATATCATTGTCTAAATATCATTCCTAATCCCCAATCTTTACGATCTGAATGTTTGAATATTTTCTGTCGGAAAGGACTAATTAATACGCTTTTCGAAAGCAATGAAACGCTAAACAATGGTAAAGTATAGTTCTTATACATGCCGCACCATCACAGCTTTATATTGGCTGTGGTTATCATGTGAATTGTTGAATTGGAAATATTCAAAGTCTTTCTAATAAACTTACTAAATCCTCTGCGAAAAAATAGAGACTGATTACTATAAAACGACTCACTACAGCTTCGTTGCACTTAATTAGACAACTCTACTTTAAAATGAAAAACTTCACCTATATGCAAGAATATATCTGTAAATTTAAAAATATTTTAACAATGACTTTCGGAAAAAAATTCATAATAGCCTTTCTTTTCCTATTCAAATGAGACTATGAAAAGGCATATGCTATATGGTTCTAGGGTTCTTCTTCACCTACTAAATTATGCTTTCGAAAAACATTTAGGTTTCAATTATTTTCACCTTTCATGTGATAGCCTATTGTGCAGCTTTGCGCTTAAACAAACAAACAAACGAACCCTGTGCGATTTGCGTAAAAATTCCATTAGATTTTTCAACCAAAGATGCTTCTCGTTTTAAACCTCACATTCGCATATATTGGTGAAATAAACTTCCAGGTAGAATTATTTGCTGTACATATACATATATATACGTAGATATGTACATATACATATATATACGTAGATATGTACATATACATAATATGTACATATACACATATATATATATATATACGTAGATATGTACATATACACATATCTACGTATATATATATGTTTACTGTCCTAAGCTGGGTAGTGTTTCAAGTAGTCCGTGTATTAATGATGTGTTTCTGATCTTAAGCTGAATAGTTGAGCAATTAATGTGTCCGATGACATTCAGTTCAAAAATAAAATCAATTATCTTGGGTCCCGACAACGTATATATTCGTCTTAGGTTGATATGTGGCCGATATAAGCACAGGAAACAGTGGCCTCAATATGTTACATTTGAGGATATAAACAATAAAATATGAAATTTGAAACTTCAATCTTGTCATGAATGAAACCACTTGAACTTATTACGAAAGTTTTATCAGGTTTGAAAAAAATAGACGGGAAATTTATTAAGGATGAAAACAGTCGAAAGTGAATTTTGAAATAGTTTCATTAAGAACAAAACGGAAATTTGAAAGCAGAATGAAAATATTATTAAGGATAAATTAATCGTGTATGAAATTCGTATCCGACATCTTTTTTTAAGGTTGAAAAGAATGAAATGTGAAGTTTCTGTTAAAGCTTTTTCAAGCACGACAACAGACACAAATGAATTTAGAAGCATTTATTTGGATAAACAAAGTGAAACTTAGGTACGTAACATAATTCCTTACCGTCATCTATAGCCAGAACTTTTATTTTATATTGCGGGATATCTTCTCTGTCTAATTTTCTCTGCACTTTAATTTCTCCTTTCTGGTTGATTTTAAACTGTCTCTTTTTGTCCGATCTTCGCTCAATAACATAACTAGATCAAATATAGAGATTTTCTGACACAGAGTCAACATTAGATAACAATTTAAGAAAAAGAAAACTAACTTTACAAAAACTTTGCTAAACCGAAATTATCAAGAAAATTATAGGAAATTTCCATTTAACTTTGCCTGTTAGGAATTTTTACGCGAAACATTGTTAAATTATGAAGAGGGGATTTGACGATGATGTGCATGTATCAACTGACCTATAAGCTTCCCCTCCTCCTGTTTCTCTGCATATAATTTAACGTGTGTACAATGATATTTAGGGTTAACCATACCTTATGAGAACAGTTTGCATGTATTAATGCAGTGCTATGTGATGCAGATGCAAGCTGTGGCGCCTATATCTCTGGTTCACGGCGAATTCTCTACCATTTGACAATGCAGTGTCGCAACGAATAAATTTAGGGCTGGAGAATTTTTCAAGCAAGGATATTCGTATAGCAATATTATTTAATAATACAGAGCAAAATAACACAATATCTGAAAAGAAGAATCTTCAGTGTTCTCCATGAAGGTAACAAATTTACATAACATTGTTTAAGGAAATGACAGCTCCATTACCACATTCTAAGCCAATCCGGTGCAATGTCCTCACTCACAATGTTAAGGCTATGAATAGGAAGATAACCGTACATCAAGAAGAGCCATTGCGACAAAGCTGGGCATATTTACTAGTACTATCAATAACATAATAAACAAGGATTTGCAGCTAACAAAAGTCCAGAAGCCAAACGTTCACAAGGTTCCAGCTATATTTCAGAATCAACTGATTTTTTTCTGTTAAAGATGGCTGAATAAATTGGAATCATAGTAATTCAATTAGACTATATATAGTCAAGTCCCTTAACGTAGTTACGTGGTCTTGGAAGCTGACATCCTTACAAAGTGGTGGTCCTGTGAAATGTGTGGTTCTACGTTCTTTGCTTAAGCTTGTTACAAAGAAAGTTGCTGTGTTGGACTACAGTGAGTAATTATGGTTACAAAAGTGTGTACAGTTGACAATGAAGAAAGTAGTTCCAAGGCAGCACGAGACTTGGAACAGCCTGCTTGTAAAGTGCGATTAATCCTCAGTATTGTTTGTATATTCTTCCATATTATATTTGTTTTGGGGGGGGGAGAGGGTTTATATCTACCTAATATTCTTAAATACATTAAAAAATAAAAATAACTTGTAAACATTTTTGTAAGACAATACTAGGAAATGATAGACGAATCGTAATGATAATTTTTGTTTCTTCTGTATTAATAATTTACCTCACTTTTGAAGAACCCCCTTTTTCCGGATCCACCGCTGTAAAATTTGCCACACTCGTCTCTATTTCTGCATCTTCCGGAATTAAGGCATTTTTGTTTTCTTTCAAGAATTTAGGAGGGTTATCGTTGATATCTCGGATACGCACTTCGATTTTGGCTCGGTCAATGTGCCGTGGATCTTTTGACTGTCCTCCGTCGTCACTCACTTGGATAGTGATGTTGAAGCCGAATCTTTGATTGGGATCTTCATAATCGAGGGGCTAAGGATATGTGTGCTTGTTTTAATTTTATGTTGTTTGAGAGAGACATATAAAAAACAGTATAATCGTAGGAATACTTTAAAAATAACAAGTAAGCGTAAATAAATCAATCAAAATATTTAATTCTCTTTCATTTTTGTCTGCGTATTGAACTTAGATTTCATTTAGCTTTTCAAGTAAATTCGTTTGCTGGTACTTATGATTGTTTTTTAGTTCTTATTTATTTATTTTTATGGATATTTCGAGTTTTATATTAAGTCTTTTTTCAGATCTTCTGATAAAGATGTTTATCTTAATTTTGTCTCTAGAACACTCATATAAGTTGTCTTGAGATAATCTAGGACTACAGTTTTATGATTTTAATCGTTTGTTTACACCTTCCAGCTAAACTGTTTGAAGTATGTAAGTGACATTGTCTGTGCGAATTCAAACAGATTCTAAGTAATAAATAAAAACGTTAACGACCTGTTAGTTCAGTGTAAGTTTTATCCTGCAAAGATTTAATTTAATATCTTTGTCAAAAGACTGTTGAAAAGAAGGTAAGTGATTTGTCAAAAATAATCAACTCTGAACTTCACCAACTAAAACCTAAATGTTTTAATATGTTATCGAGACCAGTTTATGAAATAGATGTATGGATCTACTTTTACAACAACAAAATTGTTTATACCTGAGGGACAAATAGATCAGACATTAGTTAGTTACTATTCTACTGAACGTTTTATTACGCGAGAAACAAAAACGTTACGTGAATTAAAAGTAAACTTTACTTATTAGACTTGATTTTTTAGAAACAAGAAACACATGCACCTTGGTGATCTTCAAAGATCCAGTTCCGTCTGGATTTGTGAGCATTGTGAATTTGTCAGAACCATAAGCGGACTGGAGAACCTCATAACTAAACCGGTTTGTATCCAAAAGATCTTTATCATTGACGGATACAACAAGAATAGATTCGTGAGGAATGTCCCCTCCATCAGTCTCGTCCACCTCCACGTTCCAAACATTTTTAGTGAATCTTGGGGGCATGTCGTTGATGTCTTTAACCTTAATGGTAGCCGTACCAGTTCCTGTATTAGGAAAAAAACTATGTGCATAAGATTTTGTACTTTATAAAAATTTAAATAAAATAAACAACATGTGACAATTTATTAAATTGTAGTCGTGTTCTTGTAATTGTTTATTAATTGGTTAGAAGCTGTTGATTTAGAAATACAGTCGAATATATCTAGTTTCAGATACCGCCCAAAATCAAGCATCTTCTACAAGTCTTCTTCCAATCCGGGCATTTCTTTCCAACCTATGTATTTTGCACCGAGAACAAGTAACTTTTACAAAGTTCTTTTCTAATGTAAGGGTTTTGATTCAAGGTCATGCAGTTTCTAAAAGATACCGTCCCAACTTCATCCAAGAGTTGGCGGTGGGTGGTGTTGACTAGCCGCCTTCCCTCTAGTCTATCACTGCTAAATTATGGACGGCTAGCGCAGATAGCCCTCGTGTAGCTTCACGCGAAATTCAAACTAAACCAAACCCAATGGTAACCTACATAGCAGTAGCGTCATCTTAGAGTACGTTTAATAAACTGTACATTTTTATTTCCTAAAATTAATGTTGAAGTGTCCCTTTTATCCTAAAAAGAAGCAAGTAAAATTTCCAAACTACAATTTCTATTGTTGATCTTGCTATTTATCTATTCCATCTGTAGCTTTTGTTTCATGTTAGGTATTGTAAAAGAATGTTAAAAAAATGAATAGAAAGAGTCTGTGTTCCGGTTTTAGATTCTAATGTAACAGATTTTACTCAACCCAGAATAATTAATTTAATTTAAGACCAAATTAATATTTGAGATATTAAATGTGTCTCTAATGTACAACAAAATTTTTAGGGGTGATATTAATAACAGCAAGTTAGCTAATTCTATCTATTACATCTTGACAGGAGTTGGAATGTATTTGTATCATTCTTTATAAACAACATAGGATTGATTGCAGTAAATTAAAGGGTAGCCCAAAAATAATACGCATCTGAGGTATCATAAATGTAATATGTTTTTGTCAATGAGCACAGGACGATGCCAAAAACAATTCTCACAACGAAACAATTCTCTTTGAGCTGACTTAGTCATATGTGTGTTTACAGCATGTTATGAAAGATAGGTACTGCTTCACAAAGTAATTTCTCCCATGCATGCTCTTGCATCTGTTACTTTTAAGCTAATCTGTACATCCAAACGCTTTTATAATTATATATCCGTGATTTATATTATAATAACCCATTTGAAAATAACTTAACATAAAATATATTCAAAATTAAGACTAATTAATCTGATTGCAAATTTAAACATTTATAAAAGTAAAAGGTTCACATTTCTATCATTTATTTAGTTTGAACTCGTAGTAAAAACTTATATTTTTTATACTTTACATTTTCCATTATACTATTCAATGAATTTCTAAGTCTGTTAAAAATGAACTTTATAAATATATATATATATATATTACGATGAAATATTACATATTTTTCACTAAACACCTATTGAGTTTTGTTATTTGCCAATAAAGTTTCAGAAATGGTTAAGACATAACTTGGTTACAAAATAAATACTAATGACAGATGTCTTCATAAAGTTCAATTAAATTAGGATTTACAAACTGATCCAGATACACTTTTTACTTAAACGTCCAGCAAATAAGTGAATCTTAATTACTTCACAGGTGTACTTGTCTTGCCGAGTAATATTATTGCTTCTTTTGTAAAGCTTAAAATATACATTGACATAAAGCAGTAGAATCTTCAATGTTGCTTAATAAAAACCACCAAAACTTTAATTGTTAATAATGCATAATAACAACAATATGGCAATAAATAACTTTAAACGAACAATTACAAACACCATAAACTACTTAATTCATGGTATGTTTTTGAATTTCGCGCAAAGCTACACGAGGGCTATCTGCGCCAGCCGTCCCTAATTTAGCAGTGTATGACTAGAAGAAAGGCAGCTAGTCATCACCACCCACCGCCAACTCTTGGGCTACTCTTTTACCAACAAAATAGTGGGATTGACCGTCACATTATAACGCCCCCACGGCTAAATGGGCGAGCGTGTTTGGTGTGACGGGAATTCGAACAAAAACATCTGGAAGACGGTGTGAGTTATGTTTCTAGGTGTTGTTACCAATGCTACTAAACACAATGTTAGTAACTTGTCTAGTTATCTTTTCAACATTAGAGAAACAATGCTGAAGCAGTATAAGTAATATTTGTAGTTATTTAAGTATAATTAATTAATTCATATAATTAATTTAAATATATTTTCTAAGAAACAACGCGATTTCTTACAGACGTTTTATCAACTCCACTGGAATAAATGTTGATTTATAAATGAAACATTCACCTTTAGAAAAGAAAGGAGTCTATCGTAGTAACGATACCGAAACAACTAATGATTTAATGGAACACCATTTAATATGGGTTAGCTCCATATCTTTATGCTGGTTTATTTTTACAGTCGGATTGCAACTTGTCTGTTTCAAAGAAAAGTACGTTGCGATTTACTCTTATTTAAGGTGAGAAAGAAATAAAGCTAAAGAAATAGTTTCAATGTTATTCAATTCCCTTAAACATTTAATATAAAATCCTAGTATCGTAGCAGAACATTAACTGAATTCAATTTAACAGGTAACAGTGATATTACATAACTCAGATACATGGAATATAATTTTGGTTAAAAAAAAACTCCCTAGGTGACGCCACAAAGAGAAGTATATATATCCTATAAATGATTGTTTGGAATTAAGAACAAGGCTAGACAACGGGCTATCTGTGCTCTGCCCACCTCGGGTATCGAAACCCTGTTTCTAGCGGTGATGATTTTTTCGTTAAATTACCAGAAAGTCTTCCTCCATCCGTAGCAACAACCTTGATGGTATACTCCGGATTAGTCTCTCTGTCAAGGCAGCATACTGCTGTAGAAATAACTCCTGTGTCTTTATCGATAGTAAAGATCAATTCTCCCCTTTCATTAACTGGATTCTGTTCAATAGAGTAGGTTAGTTTAGCATTTTCGCCTTCTTCCGCGTCGTCATAATCCGTTGCTGTCATAGTCATCACCGTCATACCTAAGAAATTGAAAAAAAAAGGACTAATAAATTTTATATGTTTTTCTAGCATGTTCAGAAAACTGTTCATGATCTGAAGTGAAAATTCGTGCTTCTCTATCATCACAGTTTAATAATGCTAAGCATTTTAAAACCTTAGGCCGGCGTTTCCCAAAGTGTGGAGCACCCCTCTAGGGAGGCGCAAATTATCTCTTGGGGAAGCGAGCGATTAGGGTATAGTCAAAAGTGCAATAATGCAAAATTGAGCGTTTTAATATATTTTTATTAATGAAAACAATAAATAATTACTATAACACATACAGTATCTTAATCTGTATTACGTCTCATTACTTAACTCATTGTCTCACTCATTTAAAAAAAGATGGGGGGAGGGCGCGCAAGAAATCACATTTATTAAAGGGGTGTGTGGATGACAAAAGTATATATATATATATATATATATAATGACAGTACAAAACTGTATACAATCTTTAGAAAGTTACTTCACTGTACCTGCTGGTCCGTCTTCTGTTACGTTACCAATGTAAAGAGCAGAAGGAAAGAAGGGTGGGTTGTCATTGATATCTTTGAGATTAACAAGTACATCTGCATATCCAACCAGACCATGCCCTCCTTCATCTTCAGCAAAGACAGTAAAGCGCCAATATGAGCGGCCGCGAGGTCTATCACGATCAAGGGGTTTAAGGGCGTAAATTTCACCTGATGAGCTATTTATTGCAAATTTATGTTGTGCTGGATCTATTTCATCAGTTCCTTGTCCTGTTAAAAAGTAAACAATGTCTTGTGGACGGTCCCGGTCTCCGTCCGTAGCTGTGACCTGTAGATGTGTGTAAAAAAAGAAGGTTATAGCATTAACACAGACCAATCTGAAATGATAAAGAATGTGTTCAAGTATTTGTCTTGCTACAGTTAAGGTAGTTCAAGTATTTATCTTGCAACAGTTAATGTAGTTCAAGTATTCATCTTGCTACAGTTAAGATAGTAAATGTTTTTCTTTTTTAATGAAACGATAAAATACAACAAATTTTTGAAGGCATTCGATCACAGGTATTTATTGCTAATACGACTTATTTAGGACATATTTCTGCATTATTAAAGTAAGAAATAAAAAAGGGACCGCATATCAGCAATCATAAATTAGGCTTAAATCGTGACATGCCTCTTGTACTCGCAAATGCTGCGTAAGTGTCGCAATTTTATAGTCATTCGTAAGAATCTTTATCTATATACCTTGATTTATAAGCATATTTTTTAAATGTTAAATTATACTTTCTTATTTACAGTGGGGGTGTAAATAATAAAAGGCATATAGAATATGTTTGTATATTTTGTAAAATAGATAATTTGTTAAATGTAGTCGAAATTCTTAATAACTAGATCTCTAATGATGAATTTGTAACGAAACAGTATTTATGAGTTTATACATATAAAATATAATTAATTAATATTTTCACGTGTAACGGTATGCCAATAATACCACTAGTTTGCTACTGTATAGGAAAGTTTAAGTTTGAAATATAAATCTTATAGACTAGTTCCCTCGATGGCTCAGCGTTAAGTCTGAAGTCTTATAACGCTAAAAATCGGGGTTCAATATCTGAATACCCCAATACGGATACCCAATTTGTAGTTTTGTATTTAATAACCAATAAAAAAAACACAAATTAGTATCTTTTAACTCGAAAGTTTTATTCCTGTTATCTAACGAAATTAAAGATTGTAAGATTGTTGGTTACTTCCAACGACATTAATATCTGAAACTCGTATGGTTTGTTCTATTGAAAAAAAAAGATAAAACCTCTAAGATCCACCTATTTTAGTGATCTACGTTAAACTTGAATAGACTTGAATCTACTGAAGAATGTCACATCTGAACATGAGTAGCGCTATTAAAACATAGTATCAGTATGTTTGAGTAAACTTCATAGATTAAGAAAGTCATAAGAAAGTAACATCAACATCGGAACACGGTGTTGTAGATTAGTTTTGGATCGGAGTTATAAGCCTTTTATGTGGGGTTGTTTGAGTAGTAGTAGCGCTAAAAAATTAATTGAACTCAATAACGGGTTTCTTAAAATACGAACAGTTGCTTCTAATTAATTTAAAAATCTTACAGTTTCATCTCTGAAAATATTTTGGCAATCTTTGCTAGCGTATGTAGTGTTGTTGCATATGAGATCATGTCAGCTAAAATATATAAATTAGAAAACAACAAGAAGACGACAAAGTTAAGCTCGTAACTCAACCTTATAGTATCTTGATGTATTCCTTATAATTATATATATATATATATATCACGCTAGTACTCATTTTGTCAGATTTCAATCAAGAAGGTTCATGATTTAGTTTGCACTGGTTAATCTTATATTACTATTAGTGGAACCTCATTTTAGAGGAATTGTAACTAAATTATTTAACGGCTAGTGGACTTTGTACGAGTTTTTTTATTATAGTATAATTTACGCTATAACTGTGTGGTAAATCTACGCAATAATTTGATTGATTTTCGATGCAGTATTAATATTGAAAACACTTCTTCGTGGTTCTGTATGTGTATGTACATATATATACGAAGGAAACCTTGTTAGACCTGAGAGTAATAGAAACAATAACAAACATAAAATGGCTGAACACCTTCTTAGATTAAAGAATACGGAACACACTATTCAACATAGGATATCTAGACACCTTGTTAAACCTGAGAGTAGTGACAATAACCAAATTTAGATGGTTGAATACCTTCTTCGTTTGAAGACTACAGAACAAAATATGTAGACACATTTTAAGATGACAGAACATCTTATTAAAACTCACAGTACTAACAATATAAACCAATTTCAGTCAGATACATACAACGCTAACGAGAAATATCAGAGACTTTACTAGTTGGATTACAAATAATATATTTCTAGCTTCGCGTAAAATAGCTACAGTTGTAAACTTATTAGGTTTTGAGGCGTTTGTGTTAAATGTATAAGTGTTTTTCAAATACGATTAATTGCTGAGGTCTACATATAAAAATGGCAGGTGCGTAAAGACACAACAATTTAAAGGTTGAGCTTCAGTTATTTAGTTACGTATGAATATCATTATATGAGCATTTAACATATGCAGAGAAAGACATGTCTGCTAATCCTGGTTATGAGGACTTGGTAATTAAAGTAGCTTTGGCACCTAAAATCGCTATATTTTATACTTATAACAAAAGTTAGTAACAGTAACATTCAGGTTTTGAAACTTGTTAGATTGCTTATGGTTTGAATTTTGCATAAAGCTACACGAGGACTATCTTTACTAGCTATTCCTAATTTAGTAGTGACAGATTAGAGGGAAGGCAGCTAGAAAACATCACTCACTGCCAACTCTTGCATTAATATTTCACCAACGAATAGTGGCATTATCAGTCACATTATAACGCCCCTCAAGGCTGAAAGGACGAGCATGTCCGGTGTGATGAGGATTCAAATCCGTGATCCTCAGATTGCGAATCGAGCGCCATGCCAGACCTGGTTTACGTATGAGAAGTTCGATTTAGTAACGAGTTATGAGAATATCAGATTATTTTTATCAAGTTCGAAAGCTTGTATTAGGTAACAACACACTACTGAAATATATTTAACTAATTAATTAATACATTTTAAGGCATTGGATCCCCTATAAGGTATACCACCAGGGAGTGACAGTTTGTTTGGATATTAGAAAATGTGTTTTATGGCAACAACAGATGATTGGTCAGTTCATACAGAGGACAGCATATTTCAATCCTTTTACACAGGTGTAATCAAGGCAAACTTGTATTATATTTGTGCTTGATGGAAATTTAGAGGCTGGAGGGAGCATACAGCTCTTATTATTTTGTCTCGTAATAGTTAATTTTTTTACGATTTTATGTCATTAATAACATAATTTATTAAGGTAAGTAAAAGTGCATAAAGTGTTATGAACCCATTTCTCTATATATTTTTAGTCCTGAAATGTTTATTGTATTAACGTCTACTGATTTATGAGTATCGGGTAATGTTCATAAGATGTTATTAACCCTTGCGTTTAGTAGTTAACTCCTTGGGAGATTAAGTTAGAATTACGCCAGATGACAATTATGGATGTTATTAAATTTCAATATAGGAGGTGGATAGGTCCTGTTGTAGAACTCTGGATTTTGGAAATGGCGAGACAGATTTGAATCCTTACGATACCACAAAATATTATCCGCACTTTAAGCTGTGGGAGCATTATAAGAGTGACAGTCAGTCGCTTAGGATGGATGTTAGGTGACAGGGTGCTGTTGGCTAGCTGCCTCCGCTCTGGTTAGTTGTTTAAAATTAGGGACGGCGGCAGGTAGTATTAGTACTTTTACCAAAAATACAAAATAAAAATACAATGAATAAATATATGATTGATTCGTGTCTAGTGAGTTCTCTGATAAACGAGAAAATGGTATTAACTCCAAAATATACAATATTATTAAAACTATTAATTTTAAAAAGGGAGAATAGGGATCTTCAAAAAAATACAGAAACAAGATAGGTAGTTTAAAGTGAAAATTCAATCGTCAAAAAAAAGCAAACAAACAAGCTTAAGGCTTGAAACATAGCGCTGACATTAATTCCTCAAACTACAAATCCCTATTTTGACTCTCCTCAATATTACAGCTTTTAGACATGATGCTGCAGCTTGCCAGATTTTTTCTTAGAGTGACATTATGCACACTTTACAAAGTCGAAAACGTGTTAATTAATAATTATGAATTGATTATATTAATATACCTTTCCACCTCTATTTTTGATCGAGTTTGGATCGTGACACTTTTACGACCCTCTTCCACTATGATGACCCTAAACTCTGGTGGGCCGTTACTACTGTATACATAGCTACTTCTGCCCAACTTTCTTGCTATTCCTTATAGTCAGCTTCAAGAATGGCTACTCTATCTTGTAGTATCTATAAATTTGTTTGTTTGTTATTAAGCACAAAGCTACACAAAGGGCTATCTGTGCTCTGCCCACTACGAGTATCGAAACCCGGTTTCTAGCAGTATAAGTCCGCAGAGATACCACTGTGCCACTGGGGGGCATAGTATCTATTAAGTTCCCAATCACGTAGTGTTGGCTATAATTCGACACTTACCATCAGTCATCACCGTGAATGTCGATTCGATGCTCGAAACTGAGCTTGGTGCTATCTTTTAAACTACAATTTGAAGATTTCTGTTGTGGGAGACAGCTTAAACGTTTGTATAATGTATTAGACGTCCGATAGGGCAGGAACCCTTATACATAAACAAATGATACGTAACATCAATACAGTTGCAACAATAAGTTAATAATCACTATGGTACATGTGGCATACCTTCCATATGAAAATTAAATACCATCACGGCATGCACGCAGTTATATACGTATGCATGTAGTAGATTATAAGGCTCCATATAAACCACAGTCTACATTAAAACGATTGGGTATTTAACAGTTATACAGCTGCTGTTATTTGCTAGATAGTCAAATAAACTTAAAAACCATCCTACACAATGTGAAATGATGCATTTAGTAAAATTGCCCAGTTTATATTACAATACTCACAGCCATTTTTGCTGTAGGCAGGCGGAACAATATTAAATAATAATAAAGAATAACACATGGGCGATCCCTATTATGAACCACTACCGTGATTCATGATATACATATTTATACGGCTGAAATTGTCAATGCTCTTATTTGGTTAATACTAGCTCATTAACGAGTAAATAGAGATTCCTTTCTAAAATAATGAGATACTTGGAATATTTCCATAGAATTAAAAGGAATCTTATCACTTAAATAATATTTCAAAGGTAAACTACAAAAAATTGTACAATATAAATTAAATTTAAAATAAAATACAGAAAGTATTTAGATTAATATGGTCATTCTTAATTGAAAATAAAGTACATTAATCCCTAACTTAAAACATTTCTATATATTGAGAATTAAGTTGAACTTACATAAACAACCGTAATTAAAGTCACTAACTTACTTATTAGTTTGAAACTCTGGTACTGTTTTGTAATTTTTGCCTTAGGAGCAAAAAACTTGTGTTTTTAAATTTATATATAGTAACATAATAGTAGGTTGGCAAACAACGATTTATAAGCATAAGGAAATATTTCATTGACGATGTAACATGCTACATGTTTTGACAGAACATTGGTCTGAAGAATACAGACCAATGTTCTGTCGAAACATGTAGTATGTTGCACATCAATATAATTCTTAGTATAATGTGCTTCCTTGTTCAAGTTTATAGTAACATATGCCAAGATTATGTGCTAGGGTAATTTTCAATGAAATATTCATTATTTTCTCACAGTGGTATTCATGTACATGTTTACCTCTATCTTGGTCTGAATGCTAACTTTAAAAAAATATTTGCTCAGTGGGGCCACTAGATATTGCTAAGATCACACAACGTGCCTTGTGAACATGAGCTGGATATTCTAGTCAGTAGTCTCAGGTTTAGTTGTTTTGAACTAAGAGACTGTGTCTAATAGTCTCAGATATAATAAGGATCTAGCTACTTTAAACCGCAATAGTCCCAGTTCTAACAAAATATCGAGACGTCTTAGGTTGGTTAATGTTATCATTAGTTATATGTCTAATAAGTTGTCCAATCGTTTTAAGCTCCTATCAGTGATATGAATTGTTATAAAGAACACAAAATTATGATATAATTATGAAGCTTTTGTAGTACTTAGAAAAGTGTTGAAAACTTCCATAGAATATCAGCAAATACTTTAAAATCTTGTATAATTCGTTCAGCTTACTGTTGCCAAACTGTCCAATAATATAGCGTTTTCTCGGGAGCTTGGTGGATTACCAGCTATAGATCAGTATTATAGGTTGTTTGGTTTAACTGTTGTCCAACCTCTGCATGCAGAAAATCAACATATTACCTAACATTTTATTTCGTAATTATACTCAGCCAAACTGAATGTTTTTTTTTTGTTTTTTATGCGGAAGTGATGATTTTATTATAACCTTATGTATGTGTTCTCATCTTCTTTGTTTAGAGTTTGCAGGCAAATATTTAAACTTGATTTTTCTTGTTATATTCTAATAAATGTGTTTTTCAGTAGCAACATGCTTCCCTTG